AGCTCCCTCTGGGGCCCCAGATTCCAAGACACACACCCCCACCCCGTTCCAAACTCCTTCGTTTGCATCACTGACTGCAGCACCACGTGGCACATGCCCTCGACCCTCAGCCACCGGAGGAAGCAGGCAGCGTGGACGGGCCTCGCTGATGCCACCGCCGCCACCGCCACCCTCCAGCAGCCGCCTGAGTGCGGCCACATGGCCCTCCCCTGGCGTGACCCAGGCCCAGCCAGTTCAGTTCTCGCCTGACACTCTCCGACAGGAAAGAGCTGGTCCCACAGGGAAGGTTTCCTGCTCCCAAGATCCTGGAGCAGCCCCGGCCCCTGACCCCAGCTGCCACCCACCCGCTCACCTTCACCTTCCCTCCGGAGCTCCCCACAGGTGCCTGCAGCTCTGGGCCAGCGAACCCTAAGGAGGCTGGAGGGAGGGCAGCTCCCCACCTGCTGGCCCGTCCTGGAATTCTCGGTGATGAAGCCTCTACAGCAAAAGCTTCCTTTTTTTTTTTTTTTTTTAAACGATTTTATTTATTTGGGAGAAAAAGAACACGAGCAGAGAGAGGGGCAGAGAAGGAGGGACAAGCAGACCACGCTGAGCGTGGAGCCCGACGCGGGGCTCCATCCCACAACCCCGAGAGCATGACCCGAGCTGAAATCAAGAGGCACCCAGGTGCCCAGAGCTCCAAGCTTTTTAAAAATAAAGTACATCTCGTTCCAGTTAATGTTAAGAATTACCTATCATAGAAGTGAAAGTGTTTCACCATCAGTTTCTCAATGTAACTAACATTTGTAAAACTTTCAGCCCGAAAACCAGATTACTTAATCCTACCTTGTCGGGTCATCATTTCAGCCGGAACCTACCTGCTTCGCTACAAATATTTTGAGTGAGGGCTTGTTACTGATTTTGCAATTCTCTTTTCTGCCCTTAGGAAGCAGATGATCTATTATTAAATCGATAACTTTTTTAAAAAAACGAGTTGGTGCTATTTTTGTGTCATAAAAACCTTATAATTCACATCACCAACAGTCTATTCACTTTTTTAAAAGATGAAGTTCACAGCATAAACATTTTCTATAAATTCAATTTAAAGAAATGTTCTAGTCTATTGAAATGTACAAAACTTTTTAATGTCGTATTTTTAATTTTCTATGACTTTCTCTTTCAGAATACTATGTCAGGGGCACTTGGGTAGTTCAGTCAGTTAAATGCCTGACTCTTGGTTTCGTCCCAGGTCATGACTCAGGGTTGGGAGATCGAGCCACGTCGGGCTCCCGCTCAGCACCAGCATCTGGTTGAGATTCTCTCCCCCTGCATGAGTGCACACATGCTCTCAATTAAAAATCTTTTTTAAGATTTGATTTATTTTTGTTAAAGATTTTATTTGTTCATGAGAGACACAGGCAGAGGGAGAAGCAGGCTCCATGCAGGGAGCCCGATGTGGGACTTGATCCCAGGTCTCCTGGACCAGGCCATGGGCCAAAGGCAGACGCTCAACCACTGAGCCACCCAGGCGCCCCTGTTCTCTACCTTTATTGTGCAACCTTTAAAAAAAGTTTTCAGTAACCTCTACACCCTAAGTGGGGCTTGAGCTCACAACCTCAAAATCAAGAGTCACACGCTCCACCATCTCAGCCAGTCCGGTGCCCCATCTCTGTGCAACTTTTCAACGTCAATGGCCAATTACTGCTTCACAGAATGAAGACAGTGTCACATACATGCACATTTTTGACCGGTCTAGGGATGAAATTCTTCACAATTCCTCATGCACATTAGGCATTTGGGTTACCATCAGATAGTAGAAATGTTGCAAACTAGAATATAGTCTTAATTTTTTTTTATTTAAATTTACTTAACATATAATGTGTTCTTGGTTTCAGAGGTAGAGGTCGGCGATTCCTCGGTCTTCTAGAACACCGTGCTCACTCCGTCACGAGCCCTCCTCAATGTCCATCACCCAGTTACCCCATCCATCCATCCATCCACCCGAGATGTAATCTATTCTTATACCTGTAACTTCCATGCAGATTTAGTAATCACTAACTTGGTTTTTTTTTTTTTTTTCAAATAGTGTCCTGGAGCTAGAACTCCTACACCATACGCTCCCGTGTCAGGCGTACACATTCGGCAGTGCTGTGATTGTGCATTGCGGGCCTGCCTCCTTCACCAGGTGGAGGGCTCCTGGAGGGACAGTCACTCTCATTCACTTACTGAGCACCTACTGTGTACTGCGGTGAGCAGGACAGAAGTCAGCCCACATTGTGGTGGGGGTAGGGTCGTGCCCACTAATAAAAATCATCTTTACGGACCACTTCTGTGCTGGGCCCAGAGATCCCAGTGGGTGGCTGTGTCCTCGGGGCTGCAGGACCGATCAACTCCCCCAGAGTTAACCCGAGCGGAAGGCAAGCCCCACTCCCGCCGCAGGGCTAACAGTGACCTGACCAGGTAAGCGCTGGCAAGTTGGGGCAGGGAGTCAGGTCTCAGCACCCGGCTGCCTACCCAGGGGCCTCCGCGGTCCGTCCGTCCGTCCAGCAACAGTGAAGGCCAAGTCCAATAGCAGAAGAGGTAGAGAGGGGAGTGAGCTGTGGGGTGCTCCCCTTTCTCCACTTTGGGGGCTGAAGGCCACATCCACGCTGTGGCTTAAACCCCAGGTTCACTGAATTAACCCAGGGGAAACCCCCTCCTGGGCGGGGAGGGTCTGGGGACACACATGCGGGACCCTTCCTGCTGCCACGGAGATCGCCACCTGCCCGCTTCCCCCACCCCACCCCCACCCCGCCAGGACTCAGGGGACAGCGGGACCAGGCTCTGCGCAAGGCGTCTGCACTCACGGCATCTCAGTAGTTACAGGCTAGGCCTCTTTAGGGGGGGCCGGCCCGGCCCCCTGCTCCCCATGAGTGTCCAGAGGGACAATCCCTCCCGGACAAGGGCGAGTGACAAGTGCGGAGCCTGGGCCTGAACCCCGAATGCAGAACACGGGCCGCACACGAGGCGGGAGGCAGGGCCTGAGGCCGCACCTGGAGGGCAGGCCCCGCCCTCTGCGGCCACCCGAGCACCTCCACCTGCGAGCCCCACCCCCCGCACACCTGGCCGGCGAGGGGGGTGGGGGGGGGACTGGCAGACCCTCCGCGGCAGAGGACAAGCTCCTCCATTTACCTCCCGGGCCGTCACTTGGCCGTGACCGCGTCGTTCGCAGGGCGCTCCGGGGCCTGAGCCCTCCCAGCCGGGCCTTCCCGAAGGGGAGGGGACCGGAGCCGTGGGGCAGGACACGAGGCGGGACACAAGGCCGGGCACCGCAGCCGCCAGCCACCGCCTCCCGGGCCAGGGCCGTGCGCAGGGCTGTGCCGCTTGTCCCCGAGCCACGGGCACCCCGGCTCCCGCCACCACGCCGAGCGGGCCACCAGCGACCAGACAGGGCACAGGGCGCCCGAACCAGCCCAGGCGGAGCCGGCTGGGGGGGGGGCGGGGGCAGAGGCTCAGCCTGCGGGGGGTGGGATCGCGGGCGGATCACGGGGCGGAAAGCTGCTGGGGCCCTCAAAGCCGGTTTTGCATCCTAAGTGCCCGACTCAGGAGGGCCCAGCCAGGCCCTGCACGCAAGGGGAGCTCAATGGCCGGGCCGACTCGCCCTGGCTGCACCCCTGAACCTCAGAGCCCCCCATCCCCCCCCGTCGTGTGTCGTGTCCCCCCGACCCAGTCTCCCGCCGCCCTGGCCCTGCCCCATGACCCTGCCGTCAGCCTGGCTTCTGGGGGCCCATCCTGGGAGCAGCCCAGACCCACAGCTCCAGGCCTGTGCACACACCTTCCCCTTCCTGACCCGCTCTGCCTCCAGGATTCTGCTCCACGGGTGCCCCTGGGGGACTCAGCCTGTTAAGCATCTGCCTTCAGCTCAGGTCATGATCCCAGGGTCCTGGGATAGAGCCCCACATTGGGCTCCCTGCTCGGCGGGGAGTCTGCTTCTCCCTCTGCTGCTCCCCCTGCCTGTGCCCACGCTCTCCTCTGTCATATAAATACACAAAATCTTTAAAAAGAAAAGAAAAGAAAGGGAAGGGAAGGGAGGGGAGGGGAGGGGAGGGGAAGGGGAGGGGAAGGGGAGGGGAGGGGAGGGAAGGGAGGGGAGGGGAGGGGAGGGGAGGGAAGGGAAAGAAAGACAGGAAGGAAGACAGGAAGAAAAGAAAGAAAAGAAAGAAAAAAAGAAAAGAGAAGAAAAGAAAAAAGAAAAGAAAAAAGAAAGAAAAAAAAAGAAAGAAAAGAAAGAAAAGAAAAGAAAAGAAAAGAAAAGAAAAGAAAAGAAAAGAAAAGAAAAGAAAAAAGAAAAGAAAAAGAAGAGTCCGCTCCAGGGCCCTCCTCCTCCGTGAAGTCTTCCCGGTCTCCTCCCGGTCAAAGCCCTTACCCCCAGGGCCCCGCAGCCGTCTTCCCTCCGTGCTGGCAAGGACAGGAGCCAGATCCCCCCATCCCAGCCACCCAGTGCGGCCTGGGCCAGGGCCTGGGCACGCTGCGTCCCGCAAGTCTGAGCGGCACCTCACTGGGCTGTGGGCCGCCTGCGGGCAGAGGCCACAGACCCCGAGGCCGAGCTCCCTCCAGCCCCCAGGGCAGAAGAGGAGACTGGGAGAGCCTGAGACAGCTTCTCCCCCGACCAGCCCTCGGGCCCCACCTTCTCCCCCTCGGGTCATGGCCAACAAGAAAGTGGACTCAGAACAGGGTCTGGGAGGCAGTGAGGTTGGGGCTCAGAAGCGGAGCTCCGGGCTGAGCTGTCCTCCCCTGCCCTTCCCCCGGCCCTTGCACCGCCTCCCTCCTGCCTGCAACACCTCCCACTCCCCCTGCTATCTCCTGCTCATCCTGCAGGTCACCTCCTCCAGGAAGGTCTCTCTGATCTGCAGGGCGATCTGGACGTGCCTCTCCTCCAGCTATAAATGGTCAAAGCTGACCTTATGGCGCGCTCACTACGTTCAGGCTTCCGGGCTGACGTCCGCCGCTACTTACACCATCTTATAAGAACAGTAAGAACATAGGAACTGGGAACAGTGTCATCCCATTTCACAGACGAGGTAACTGAGGCACAGAGAAGCTGAGATGCAGACCCAAGATCTGAACCTTAACTACTCTGCTTCTTCCTGACACCGCGAGGCCGGGACCCTGTCATTCTCGCTGCTGCGTCCTCACCCCCAGCGGTGGGGTCTGTTACCCAGGAGCAGGGGAGAAAACCCGAGGTCCCCCAGAGGCCGGGCGGCCCGCTTGGCCCTGCCACAGCCCGACCTCCGGGCCCCGACTTGGAAGCTGTTGCCCAGAGCAGTGCAGACCCCAGCACCTTGGGGAAGGAGCAGAAGGACGCCTCGCTGGCAGGGACCGTTTACTCGGCCGGCCTGGGTCAGCAGCAAGGTCCTGGGGTCACCCGGCTGCGGCCACGCCCCGCTCCAAGGAGTGTGCATGCAGGCGGACGGAGGGGGCCGGGGGTGCAGCTGCAACCCCTCCCTCGAGGCTCCCAAGGGACAGCAGCTTCAGACTGGGGGGTGTCCCAAGGGGGCGGGGGCTGGCCCTGACGCCCCACTTCCTCCTCGCTCCCTGCAGAGTCCAGGTTCCTGGAAGCGGCGGTGAGGAGGTTTTGGAGGTGGGGACGCAGCTGGGCCGGGGCCTCCAGGTGCCCCCGGCTCCCCCCATGGCCCAGTCCGGGGGCAGCAGCGCCGGGCCGGCCCATACTTGTCCCCTCCTGGGAGTGGCCTCTGGGGGTCCTGGTCAACTGGGGAGGAGGGGCTGGCGCTCCAAGGAGGTGCCAGTGTCCCTGTACACCAGGAACTGTATGGAGATCTGGAGGCGCCGACGTCAAGGCCAAACGGAGCAAAGGCTGGGATGGACGTACCCCTGGGGGCCTCGGCTCCCTGGAGAGCTGCTCCCCTCTCCCCTCCACCCCGCACCCTGCCCCCACCCCGAGGCCAAGGCCCCAAGCCGCAGCTGCAGCCCCCCCCCAAGGTTCTAGAGGACAGCCTCTTCCCCCCGCCCCGTTCCTCAGGGCCTTTGCACAAGCTGAGGCGAGGCCACCTCTCCCTTGCCTTTGCCGCCCCCCCTCAGCCCCCATCCTCCTCCTCCCAGGAGCACTCTAGAGGCCTCGGCTGACCTTCTAAACCAAGACAGCCCCTGGTGTGACACAGACAGATTTACCCCGAAGTGCTCAGTGCCACCGCTGAGAAGGGGGTGCTGACAGCCGCCCCACTAAGCTGGGAGTTCCCTGGGGTGCCAAGCAAGGGTGCCAGGCACACGGGACTCCCCTCTCGGATGGACAGAAGCTGCCACCTGCCCCCCACTGCCCCCGACCCCGGAGGATACGATGGTGTCGAGCAGCAGCACGCCCAGGCTGCCCACGAGCCAGGGCAGGTGGTGCAGCAGGTAGCTGCCCTCGCTCTGGCCCACCTCGGGGTTCTTGAGCAGCACGCTCAGCCCGTACAGCGTGTTCCCCAGCATCACCAGGGCGAACAGCGAGTAGGAGACGCCCTGCGTCGACTTCCTCAGGAACTAGGGGGCGGGGGGGGGGGCGGTCAGAGGCCTGGGCTGGGGCTCCTGCCACTCCGTCCGCCGGAGCTGGCTTCCCGCCGTGGGCCCGCGTCCAGCATCCGCACTCCCACCACCCGGCCCAGGTCCCCGGGAGCCCGGCTGCCCCTCCCTGCCCCTTGCTGCCCCCCCCCCGCCACTCCCTCCTCCCCTCGGAGGGCTGCAGGCCAAGCCCCCCCCCCCCCCGCACCTGCCGCTGCGCCCCAGTCCCGGAGGTAGACACTGAGGCCCAGGGGGAGCCTTGCCCGCCCCGCCCGCCCAAGCTGGGCCCGGGCCTTCTGCACACAGAGCACGCGGTGACCGAGGCCCTCCCCACCCCGCCCCTGCCCAGGCTCACGTTGGTGCGGATCTGAGGCAGCCGCGACAGCAGGTACAGCACGCTGGACACGGAGCCGATGACGAAGCCGATGATCTCCTGCTGAGTGAAGGGCTGAGAGGGCGGGGGTGCTCAGCGCCCACGAGGGGCCGGGGTGCGCCGTGCCATCGGGCTCCCTCGCAGGGGGAGGCCCACCCGTGGCCGGCGGGGCCCCAGCCACCACCTCACGCACCCCCCGCTCACCTTGCTGCCCGGCTCCACGGACAGGAGCGTCCGGCCTCGGAAGACCTCGGCCGGGGCAGCCTCGGGGCCGGCGCGCCTCAGCAGCGGGGTGCCGCACGCCACCCCCGAGCCGACCAGGAGCGCGGCGTTGATGGGGGCAGACACTGCGCCGGGGGAGGGAGCCAGGGTCGCACGGGGGCAGCAGCCACCAGGACGTGCCCCAGCCCCTCGGAGCTACCTAGTCCGCCGTCCGCAGCAGCACCCTCCTCCAGGGCTGTCGCCCCTGCTCAACCCTCGGGGCCACCGTGACCTGTGTCCTTGTCACCTTGGCTCCAAGCCCAGGGCCAGGTTCAGGAGCGGCTGAAGCCACATTTGCTGAAGGACAGCTCGAGAGAAGGGGCAAGGGGCGTCCCGTGGTCCCGCCTGGATGCTCGATGCACCCCCCCCGGCCCCGCCTCTGCTCCTCGGCAGGTGAGGCCCCGGTCACCGCTGCACCGGGGAAGCCCACCTCCCCCGAGGCCCGGCCCTCCCGCCACCCCGTCCCCGTCCCCGGCCACCCGCCCGGCCACCCGCACTCACACGCCGAGGGCCGTTTCTTAAACTTGTAATGAAAGTAGAGCGACAGCATGAGCAGGTCCGCCAGCACATAGTACACGGCCGTGTAGGTCTGCGGGAAGTGGGGCTCAGGGCACCAGGCACACAGCAGCCCGACCCATGACCCCGCCGCCCTGACCTCCTGGGGCCCCGTCTGGGTCCCCGTCGGATGCAGAGGGCCAGGCCTGCACGGACTGAGGGAGGTGGCGGGCCCGCCTCGGCGGGGCGGATGGGGCTCAGGGGTGAACTGAGGGTCCCGGCTGAGGCCTTCCCAGCGGGGAAGACGGCGATGCCGGCATGTGGTTCCCGGCACCTGCCACCCCGCCCCCCGAAGGCAAACCTTTCCTCCTCCGGGCCCCCCCAACCCTGGCAGCTCAGCGGGGCACCCAGCACCCCAGGGCAGGAGCAATGGTCGGGGGCAGGATGCTCCTGCCAGCTGCCCCCCACCCCCTGCGGGACCCACCTGTAGGGGCAGCTGGTCGGCCAGGAAGGAGCCGATGAGGTTGCAGGAGTCTCCTCCGATCCAGCCCAAGAGGAACCACAGAGACAGCGCCTGGTCCATGTTGCCGGCCTTGCAGGCCTTGATGTACTGGCTGCAGGAGAGGAAGATGACATGGGCTCAGGGGAGGGCGGGGCTGCGGCGGGGGACGGGTGGGGGGGCGCACAGGTGGTCCCTTGGGAGCCCAGCCTCCCTGCAGGCAGGACCCCCAGGAGCCTCCCTGTGCCCTTCGGGGATGCTCACTGGGGGGTGTTCTCTGCCAACCAGGGGTCTCTAGGGCATCAGATTCCCCTCCACAGCACCCCGGAGACTCCCCGGGGGCACCTGGAGTTTGGTGTCGGGACCCCACATTCACTCTCCTACACAGGGAGGCAGAGGTTCAGACGACGGTGGCAGTGGCGAGAGCCAGGGCCTGGCCTGCGCTGTGTCCCGAGCGGCAGAGAAGCTGGGCCAAACCACAGCCCGGTTCCTTCAAAGGGCAGCGGGGAGGGCGGGGCTGTGCCCCGGGAGCTCATGCCCCGGTGGGTGGCTGGGACCCCCTGGTTCCTTTCCCAAAGGCCGTCTCTTCAGACCTCCGGCCAGTGTCAGTGCCAGGTGACAGCACAGGTGACAGGCCTCAGCAGAATCCCGCGCCCTCGGTGCTGCTAACCCGCTGGTCCTGCAGAAGCCCCAGAGGGCAGCTCTAGTCCGCGTGGGACGGGCCAAGTCACGTCACTCGGGGCCTTGGCGCCAGCGTCACAGCCAGCCCCCAGGCTCCGGTCGCTCTGATCCTTTATACAACTGCCATTTACTCTACATTTCTATTTAATCGTCTGTATTTATTTTATTTATTATTATTATTTTAGCGGGGAGGCAGAGGGAAAGAAAAAAATCTTTTCTATTTAAGGTTTATTTGAGGGAGAGAGAGTGGGGGGGCGGGTGGTGGGGGACAGAGGGGGACAGAGAGAGAGACTCCCAAGCAGAGTCAGTGAAGAGCACGGAGCTGGACGTGGGGTTTGATCTCACGACCCTGAGACCATGACCTGAACTGAAACCCAAGAGTCGGCCGCTTAACCGACAGAGCCACCGGGGTGCCCCTCGTCTGTGTGTATTTAAATAAAAGGACTAAAGAGCACCTCATCCCTCCCATCACCCAAGTCAGAAGCCGAGAAGCCGGATATGGCCCCGGTTCTTCCCACGGCCACCCTGCCCTCTCCTCCTCCTGTCGGGACCCACCCCTGCCCGTGCACCTGCCTGTCCCCCATCCGAGCCTGGCTCCCCCTGAACCTGTCCTCCCTCTCAAGGGCCCTTCTGAAACCCCAGGCTTGCCAAAGTCAATCGGATCCTTCTGCGGCTCTCCAGCGAGGGCCTGCATCCTCCTGAGCGTGTCCTCACAAGGCCCCCAGGGCCAGCTGTCCCTCTGTCCCCGCCCCCTCCACCAGGACTTATTTCCCTTTCTCCAGACTCTTCATCGGCAGCCAGACAGCTGACTCTCTCCTCTTCCTTTTTGTCTTTCGTGGCTCAGGAAGTATCACTTCCTCCCCACGGCCTTCTTGACACAAGCTCGCCCGTGTCCTCTACTTCCTCCTCCGTAACACGGGATGTCCTTGTCCCACCCAGACGCAAGCTCCCTGAGGGCAGGAAGAGTGTCCAATGCAGGCCTGGCACCCAGAAGGTCCCTAAGTAAGGTCTAGCCTACGGCCCTTACAGCCCCTTGTAGCACACGTGACTTGGCAAGTCGTAGATTTCAGGGACTGTGACTGTGTCTCACCCAAGGAAGGCTGAGTCCTAAGGAGGGGCAGAAAAGCAGGCACCTTCCTGCTGTCACCTGGGGCTCTCTCCCAGGCCTCTGACCCCCTCCCTGGTGAGCCAGCGGGCCTCAGGCAGGGCCAACATGATCTCAGCCAGCTCCCCAGGTAGCTCTAGAGATGCACTCACTCTGGAACAGGGCGTCTCTCCGTCAGCCTCTGTGAGTCACCCACACCTGTCCTGTCAGCCTGGAAGGGCCTCTCCAATGCCCCCAACAGCGCTGCTTGCTGGATGGCTTCCACGGCCTCCCAGCTGGCCTCCCTGCCTCCGGTCTCACTCCTTGCCCTACCAGTCCTTTTTCCCTGAGACTCCCAGACTGCCTTTTCAAGGTAGCCAGAATGGAAGCGCTGTAAACCCAAGGACGGCACCTATTTTTGTTTACTTGCAACCTGCCTACTACATACAGCACCTAGAACAAGCTCATTCAGCAAAACTGCCAAGTCCACAACAGGATACTGGGATAATTCAGCGGGGGGATGATGGTCTTTCAAACACATGGTACTGGGACAACTGGGTATCTCCAAGCTAAAGAACGAGACTGGACTCCTACCCCATACCGTGCACAAAATACAACGCAAACTGTACCAAAGACCCATTAAAAAGAAAACCACAGGGACGCCTCGCCTATGTGGCTCAGCGGTTGAGCGTCTGCCTTCAGCTCAGGGCCTGGTCCTGGGGTCTTGGGATCGAGTGTCACACTGGGCATCCTGTGGGGACCCTGCTTCTCCCTCTGCCTGTGTCTCTGCCTCTCTGTGTCTCTCATGAATAAATAAAAATCTTTAAAAAAAAAAAGAGAGAAAGAAAAGAAAAGGAAAGGAAAGGAAAGGAAAGGAAAGGAAAGGAAAGGAAAGGAAAGGAAAGGAAAGGAAAGGAAAGGAAAGGAAAGGAAAGGAAAGGAAAAGAAAAGAAAAGAAAAGAAAAAATCACAGGCCCAAGGTGGAGTCACTTAGGCCAAATCACCAAACAGGGGCTTAAAAACTAACCTAATCATATTCAACCTCCCCCAGAAATGTAGTCTTAATCGCTCAGGAATTTTCTGGTCAGTAGCAATGAGGTAATCTGTCCCATGTCACATGTCTCCACCCCCCACAAAGGAACATGACGTCACCTACCAAGACCCCCTGCAGGAAAGTGAGCTTGCAGGATCTAATCCCTTCTTTTTTTTCTACTAATTTCTTGCCCCACTGTCTTTCCTATAAAAACCTTCCATTTTGGAAAGCTCCTTAGAACATCTATTTGCAAAAAAAAAAAAAAAAAAAAAAAACAACATCTATTTGCTGGGCGCCTGGGTGGTTCAGTCAGTCAGCTGTTTGTCTTCAGCTCAGGTCATGATCCCAGGGTCCTGGGAGTGAGTCCCCCACTGGGTTCCCTGCTCAGTGGGGAGTCTGCTTCTGCCTCTGCCCCTCACCCTACTCATGTGCTCGCACGCACTTGCTCTCTCTCTCTCTCTCTCTCTCTCTCTCTTGCAAAAACAAATCTGTTGAATTTTTTAAAGATCTATTTGCCGTGTAGGATGCTGCCCAATTCATGAATGGCTTAATAACCCAAACTGTGTCTTCAAATTTGACCAGTGGAATTTGTTTTTTAACAGACCTAAATTTAAAACCTCCTCTATCATACTGTGATTCATAATAAGAAATATGGGGGCGCGCCTGGGTGGCTCAGTCGATTAAGCATCTAAGTCTTGATTTTGGCTCAGGTCAGGATCTCAGGGTCCTGAGATGGAGCCCATCTTGGGCTCCACGCTGGGTGTGGAACCTGCTTAAGCATCTCTCTCCCCCTCTGCCCCTCCGCTAAAAAAGAAAAGAAAAGAAAAAGAAAAAAAAAGAAAAAAGAAAAGAAAAGAAAAGAAAAGAAAAGAAAAGAAATTGGTCTTCACCCCATACCTAGCATATTGCTAAGTAAAATTCCTGGAATTTCCTAAGTGAGCAATACAGGTGCCATTCGTTATGTTAATGAGGTCCCTTTTGGACCGCCTCTGGGTCACCTCAAGATGAGGGCTGGTGGCTGTGATGTGATTAAACCATTGGTACTTTCACTCCCGTTGCCCTGACCTCTGAGGAAGTGAGAGGGACTGGAGATGGGGTCCAATCGCCAGCTGCCAATGATGTAACCAATCAGGCCTGCGCAGCGAAGCCTCCAGAACTCGGACAGGTTCAGAGAGCCTCCGGGTCAGTGACTGGAGGACCCAGCAGCTCCATGCTCCGTCCGCATCCCCTGCCCTGGGCATCCCTGCCGGCTGGCTGCTCCCAAGTTAACCTCCTTTCGTAAGAAGTCGGTGATCTAGTGAGTCGACCATGAGCCGTTCTCCCAAATTAGTCAAACTCAAGTAAGGGGTTTGTTGGGACCTCCAATCTATAGCTGGTCTACATGTATCAGAAGCACAGGTGACAACGTGGACTTGCCACTGACATCTGAAAGGGGAGGGGCAGCCTTGTGGGACCGAGCCCCTAACCTGTGGGATCTGATGCTGTCCCAAGGTAAACAGGGTCTGAACTGTTAAATGCTGGACGGTGTGGGGAAAATATACCTGTGGACACTGATGTCAGAATCAGGTAAATCTACAAACCTGTTGTGGAAAAGAGCAAAAGAGGGCTTGACTACCACCATTCTGACCTCAAACTTTTTATACATTTTAAAATTTAAATTTTTTAAAGATTTTATTCATTTATTCAGGAGAGACACACACAGAGACAGAGAGAGAGAGAGAGGCAGAGACACAGGCAGAGGGAGAAGCAGGCTCCATGCAGGAGGGAGCTCGACGCGGAACTCGATCCCGGGTCTCCAGGATCAGGCCCTGGGCTGCAGGCAGCGCTAAACCGCTGAGCCACCGGGGCTGCCCCAAATTTAAATTTAATATGACAACATATAGTGTAACACCCAGTGCTCATCCCATCATGCACCCTGCTTAGTGCCTGTCACCCAGTCCCCCCCGTCCTCCCACCCTCCTCCCCTTCTGCAACTCTTTGTTTGGTTCCCAGAGTCAGGAGTCTCTCGTGGTTTGTCTTCCTCTCTGATTCTTCCCACTTGATTTCCCCCCTTCCCTCATGGTCCCTTTCACTATTTCTTACATCCCACGTGTGAGTGAAACCACATGATGATGGTCTCTCTCCGACTGACTCATTTCACTCAGCACAAACCCTCCAGTTCCATCCGTCCTTTCTGATGGCTGAGTACTATTCCACTGTGTGTAGACACCACACCTTCTTGATCCATCCATCTGTCGAAGGACATCTCAGCTCTGTTCAGTTTGGCTATTGTGGACACTGCTGCTACGAACACTGGGGTGCGGGCACCCGTTGTTTCACTACATCTGCTGGTAAATACCCAGTAGTGCGGGGATCCCTGGGTGGCGCAGCGGTTTGGCGCCTGCCTTTGGCCCAGGGCGCGATCCTGGAGACCCGGGATCGAATCCCACATCGGGCTCCCGGTGCATGGAGCCTGCTTCTCCCTCTGCCTGTGTCTCTGCCTCTCTCTCTCTCTCTCTCTCTCTGTGACTATCGTAAATAAATTAAAAAAAAAATTTTAAAAAAAAGAATATTTTAATACCCAGTAGTGCGATTGCTCGGTCGTAGGGTAGCTCTATTTTTAATTTCTTGACAAACACTGTTTTCCAGAGTGGCTGCACCAGCGTGCATTCCCACCAACAGTGCAAGAGGGTTCCCCTTTCTCCACATCCTCACCAACACGTTGTTTCCTGTCCTGTTAATTTTAGCCATTCTCACTGGTGCAAAGTGGTATCTCATTGTGCTTTTGATTTGTACTTCCCTGATGACAAGTGATGTGGAGCATTTTTTCATGTGCCTGTTGGTCATGTGTAGGTCTTCTTTGGAGAAACGTCTGTCAAACTTTCTTTCTAAACTTTCTTCTTTAAGTAGGCTCCATGCCCAGCACAGGGCTTGAACTCACGACCTGAGATCAAGACCTGAGCCAAAAATCAAGAGTCGGAGGTTTAACAGACCTAGCCCCCCCAGGCGCCTGCCCCTTGGCCTTAAACTTTCAATCCTGATTAAGTTCTTCTTTCTAGCTTATCCCTTAACTCAGGCAAAAGACCACGTGGGCAAAGCATCCTGGGAAGGGAAATGAAAGTACCTGCTCAAGCAAAAGGACTGCCCTGAGCCAGCAAGACCCGGAGTGACTGACCCCAAGACAATGCCTGATCTGACCTTCACTGCGCCCCCGTATGTTCCCACCAACCAGAGTCCCCCACTGTCCTTATATAGCCCCTGGGAGACAGTCTTTGAGACACTAGTCTGCAGTCTTCCCAGAGTCAGCCTCTTGGAGATAAGCTCCTTTCTCATTTCACCACCACTCATGTCTCTTTGGGTGAATGCTCAAACCTGATTTGTCTGGGACCCCCTGGAGCCAGCTGCGCTCCTCGTACCATAAGGGTAGGTCTCTGTTACTTGGGTTAGGCCACGATGTTTTTTTAGATGTGACACCAAAAGCACAAGCAAAAAAAGAAAAAAGAGATAAGCTGTACCTCATCCAAATTTAGACCTTCTGTGCTTCAAAGGACACTCTCAAGGAAGTGAAAAGAGGACCCACGGAATGGGAGAAAATATTTACTAATCAATCACATGTCAGATGAGGCTATCGTATTCAGACTACATAAAAAGTTCTTACAACTCAACAGCAAAACGAAAAATAATCCAATTGAAAAGTGAGCAAAGGGGGCACCTGTGGTGGCTCCATCGGTGAAATGTCTGTCTTCAGCTCCAGTCATGATCTCAGAGCCCTGCATAGGGCTCCCTGCTCAGCAGGGAATCTGCTTCTCCCTCTGCCTCTGCCTGTGCTCTCACACGTGCTTTCTCTCTAATAAATTAATTAAATTTATTTATCTTTTGCCCTTTTTTCCCAGAAATAAATTAAATTTTTTTAAAAAAGAAAAAAAAGGGCAAAGAATCTGAAAAGACCTTTTCTTAACATCACTAGCCATCAGGCAAAGAATAATCTAAAACCATATACAAATCATAAACTATAACGAGATAACACTTCAAACCCATTAGAACGGCTATAATGAAAAGATGGAAAAAAATATGCATTGATAAGGATATGGACGCACTGGAACCTCACACACGACTGGAAGGAATACAAAAGGAATATAAAATGGTGCAGCCTCTTTGGAAAACAGTCTGGCAGTTAGTTCCCTGTTAAAAAGAAAACCACAGGGGATGCCTGGCTGGCTCAGTGGATGGATCATGGGACTCTTAATCTCAGGGCTGTGAGTCTGAGCCCCATGCTGGGGGTAGAGATTTTTACTTAAAAAAAAAAAAATCTTGGGACGCCTGGGTGGCTCAGCAGTTGGGCGGCTGCCTTTGGCTCAGATGGTGATCCCAGGATCCGGATTGAGTCTCATATCTGGCTCCTGCAAAGAGCCTGCTTCTCCCTCTGCCTATGTCTCTGCTGCTCCCTCTCTGTCTCTCATGAGTAAAGAAATATTAAAAAAGAAATTCTTAAAAAAAAAAAAAACCAGAGGCCCAAAATGACATCACTAGGACCAGACTAAGTCATGAAATCAGGACTTAATAATGTTTTTTAAACATCCTTAAAAGAGGAACACCTGGGTGGCTCAGTGGTTGAGCATCTGCCTTTGGCTCAGGTTGTGGTCCCAGGGTCCTGGGATCGAGTCCCGCATCGGGCTCCCCGTGGGGGGTCTGCTTCTCCCTCTGCTTATGTCTCTGCCTCTCTGTGTCTCTCATAAACAAATTTAAAAAAACTTAAAAAAAATCCTTAAAAGATTAAATACAGTTACCACATGACCCAGCAATTTTACCACGTAGGCATACACCCAAGAGAAGTCAAAACGTATGTACCCACAGAAACTGGCCCATGAATGTTCAGTGGCCTTCGCCATAACAGCCAAAAAGTGGAAACAGCCCAAATGTCCGTCTGGGAATGAATGAATAAGATGTGGAACATCACACGTTAGAATATTCTTTGGAAATAAAAGGAATGATGTCCTGACATCTGCTACAATGTGGGTGAGCCTTGAAGCCGTTCTGGTAAGTGAAAGAAGCCGGTCTTTCACATGCTCTATGATTTCATTTACAGGAAATGTCCAGAGTTGGCAAATCTATTAGAGACAGGAGGTAGACAGGTGGTTGCCAGGGGCTGGGAGCTTCGGGGGGGAATAAGGAATGACTCATTTCTTTAGTTTTTTTTTTTTTTCCCTAGGGTGATGAAAATGTTCTAAAACTGATTATGGCAATGGATACACAGCTCTGTGGATATTCTAAAAACACCGAATTATATATCTAAAGAGGCTAATTATATGATATGTGGATTATCTCTCCAAAAAGCTATTTTTAAAAAATGCCGAGCTCCTGATGAAACCCTTATCTTCCTCAGGATAAAGAGCCCATCTCCTGACAGTAGAGAACCCTCACACTGCAGGGCCTTCGGACCTCACGTCTCCCTGTGCCCCTGACCCCCACACACTGTCTGCCCACATTGTGCCAAGGTCCAGAGCCCCGTGCTTGACGTACACTCCCTCGTGCCATCCTCACACCAACCCTGGGAAGGGGGGAACAACATTCCTGTTTTGCAGATGAGGAAGCTGAGCCGTGGAGCAGCAAAGTGACTCTCCCAAGTCACAGTGCGTCTCCGTTCCTCAATAGCAGCAGGGATCACACTATTTTGTAATCACTGCTTGCCGGCCACCCACCAGACTGTCACAGGACAAGGGCTGTATTTGGGGCATCTGAGCCCTCCCACCCCTCTGCTTCTTCTCTTCTTAGCTGTACAACCCAGGGCAAGTTACTTAGCTTCTCTGACTTTCCATTCCTTCCATCCAAAAAATTAAGGATGGTAACTGTACCTGTTTCACAGGGTTATGAGGATTAAGTGAGCTAAGAACACTTCAAGTGTTTAGGACTGAAGTACGTAGTGTGCACTGAACAAACAGCGAGTGTTAATGTTGTTACTATTATCTGTGTGTCGGCATCGCCCAGCATAAGATGGGACCTAGGGTGCAGTTCAGTTCAGGGCCCTCCAGGGTGGGTTGGAAGTCAGCAAGTGGGAGTGGTGGAGGGCTCACGCTTGACCTTGAGTCTGGAGAGGCCCAGGGCCGGTGATCGGCTGCCGGGCAGTGCCTGAGCCATCACCCCACCGCACCCCCTGTCCCGGGCCCGCGCCCTGCCATTACTCACGGGAAGGTGGATGCTGCAAAACAGAGAATGGAGATCAAGCCCAGGCCCACGCTGGCCTCGTCCCAGCCGTCCTGGGCACATTCGCCAAACACGTCCCATATCCACGGGCGGGAGCCGTTGGGGCAGTCGGAGAAGTTGCCAGAGCCCACCTTCTTCCAGACCATGGCTGCTGTGGGAGTTCGGGAGGGGTGTCCAGGGAGAAAGAGAGGGGGCCTTTAGCCTTGGGAGGTCCGGCCCCTGGGCTCCTGAGCTCCTCGCCCCCAGCCTCGCCCATCCTGTTATCCCCCAGCACAGGGCAAGCCCCCAAACCCTAGGACACGCTCAGCCTGGAGGACAGAGAGCAAAGCACCCTTGTGACAACCACCTGTGCAGAGAGAGCGCTGGGTCTGCGCACAGGGACGAACGTGCTCAAATGCCAGCTTTACCAAAACCCGTCAAGGCTGCGACTTTGGGCAAGAGCCTCCGCCTCCCTGGGCGTCAGGTCCCCCATCTGTAGGGTGATTACCGCGCCTCCCTCCTACAGTTGCCCTGAGGCTGAAAGGCTTCAGGCAATGAACCCTCAGAATCACTTTGGTCCTGCTCCCCAACATTTACATCGTTTCCAATCTTTGGTTTGTAAATTAGACCAGCAGGGAGCTTGTAAATTACAGGAGGCCCCATTAAGGCCCCATTAAGTAGGTTCCCTTATTTAAGGTAGGGCTGTCCGCCCACAGGGGTCAGAGGACAACACCGCCCGGCCTGGGGGGTGGGGGGTGGGGCAGCTTGCGCTGGCCGGATTCGAGCCTGGCACCCTGCCGAATTCTCCACGGGCAGGTGTGGGGCTCCTGCGGCCAAGGAGTCGGAGCCACCTTCCCACTCTCACCGCCCACAAAGCCTGAAAGTGGTGGGTCCCAGGAGCGGCAGGAATTTCCCCTCCTGATGCCTGGGCGCCCTGCAGTGGCCACAGCAGTCACCTTCTGCGCGACAGTCCCAGACAAGGCAGAGCGAGCAGAGCCCGACGGCGCCACCTCTACCAGGAGAGACTCACCAGGCCCCGGATCACCAAGCTCTGCTCCTAGCACCTTGCAGGCATTGCCTCATTTTGTCCCCACATCAACTCCATGAAGGGGACACGGGGGCTCCTGATACATCCCAGGCACCAGGGAAGTGACTTAACATCGGGCCAGGAAGCAGTGGAGGCAGGAGTCAAAGCTGGGCCTGGGACCCCAAGCCGCAGCTCCTGGCCACCCTGTCACACTGCCTCAGGCGCTCTGTCCCTGCCCAACCCCCCCAGCAGCCAGAGGCAGACCTGCCCTTCTCTCCCCGTGCCCAGAGGCTGTCCTCGCTGGACTGACTCCCCAGATACCTTTAGTTCCTGCTGCCCTCAGCCAGACCAGGATCCCCATAAAGCAATGCCCTGTGCCCCAGACCATGTCTGTGGCCCCCCAGATTCATATGTGGAAACCTAACCCCCAGTGTGAGGGCAATGGGGGGGGGGCGGCTCTGGACACGCTTGGGTAAGGGGAGCAGAGCCCTCAGGAATGGGATGGGCGCCCTTATACATGAGACCCCAGAGAGCTCCCCTGCCCCTTCCGCCAGTGGGGGGACACAGAGAAAGACAGCCATCTGTGAACCAGGAAGCAGACCCTCACCTAACATTACATGTGCTGGTGTCTTGACCTAGGACTTTTCCAGCCTCTTGAACTGTAAAAAAATCAATGTTTGTTGTTTATAAGCCACCCGGTCTTTGGTCTTTTGTCATAGCCCTTGAATGGACCGTCACCCTGGCCAGACTCTTGGAAGTGAGGAGGGAAGGAAGCCAGTCAGCTTCTTTTCTCAGGAAGTGGAACTCTCAGGCCTACTGTGATGGGCCATGGGCAGAAGCCCCGAGCTGGGGTAACGGTGTCCAGGTCACGTGTGCCAGGGTCACTGCTGTATCTGCAGGGCCCTGCAAGGGTGGCTGACAGCCTCTTCCTGCATCCTGGCCACCCACCTGGATGACCTTTAGCACATCAAGGAGCTCTACACCTGATGTCCTGCCACCAGCACCTGCAAGGCCACCCAGGCTAGCAGACCGTCTGGGTAAGTACTGTTATCTTTGCTGCACTAAAGGCATTTCCAAGCAAGTCCTTTGTCCCCCTACTGGACCCCCACATCGCCCCCTTACAGATTCTGTGTCTGCCCATCCAGTTCACTGCCACCCTCGTAACTTCCCTGTGAGGTGGGGGATACTGTCCCCATTTTCCAGGTAAGGTTGGGTAGCGTTGCCCAAATAAGGAACCTGCCTGAACCTGTCTGTAGAATGAAGATGGTGACCCTGGCTCCTTGGGGTTTGTGGTGCAGATGAAATGCACATAAGGAAGGCTCTCCGCCCATGCGTGACTGAACGTGTGCTGGGGACTATTTTAAGGATGAGAATCCAGGAGTTCAACCACCCCGAGGTCACCCCTTGCCTGCTTCTCACCAGGTTAGGGAGGAAATAAAGTGAATACATCACGGGTGAGGGAAGGGGGTGTCTTGAGCATTATAGCTTGGCTCACAGGGCCCAGAGCAGTGGGTGGGTGGTCCCCGATCCTTCACGGGGCACATGCACAGCTCAGGATGCTCTAAGACACACCTGATCCTGATCCGAAGAGGCCTTCTCCCAGGGGCCATCATCTGTAGGTTCTGACCCAGCTAGGGAGCCTGCCTGGGCACCAGGCCTGGCTTCTGGGAACGGGCCTACCTCCTGGTCACACAGCAGCATGAGAATGGATGTCCAGGGTCGCAACAAAGCTTGACTGCATCCAAGGTTTGACAAGGACCACAGCAGGGGTGGGTGCCTTGGTGCCACAGAGGGCACACGTCCAGAATTCAGGCTCAGTGTCTCTGGACTTCAGATCAGGGACTTTGGGTTTAAGAAGCAACCCCGGGTGTGCACCTGGCTGGCTAAGTCAGTAGAGCAGGCAATTCCTGATCTCAGGGTTGTGAGTTCAAGCCCCACGTCGGGTGTGAAGATTACTTAAAAATAAAATCTTAAAAAAAAAAAAAAAGCACTACCAGTTGTTTCTGGTGCAAACAACCACGCTTGGAAAAGCCTGCGCTGGAGAAGGCATCTCCGGCCGCACCCAAGCTCCTCTCTTGGATTCCAAGCTGAGTCAGGAAGATGCTTCCCACGGAAGCTTCCCATGGAAGTGGCAAACCTCCAGGCTTCTGCACATGTGGTCTCTTCCCTTAAGAGGGTCCTTCTCAGGGGATCCCTGTTTGGCTCAGTGGTTTAGCCCCTGTCTTTGGCCCACGGCGTGATTGATCCTGGGGTCCTGGGATCGAGTCCCACATCGGGCTCCCTGCATGGAGCCTGCTTCTCCCTCTGCCTGTGTCTCTGCCTCTGTGTCTCTCATGAATAAATAAAATCTTTAAAAAAAAAAAAAAAGAGTGTGTCCTTCTCCCCCTGGAGGGCCAGGTAAGGAGACACTAGTACCTCGTTCTAACATGCTACCTCAAAGACACCTTGCAAAGGCTGGTCAGACGACACCTGTCACCTCTTCCCCTCTGCCCCATTCACATATCTGAAGAATGCTTATCACATTCCTCAGCTAAGCCTGCTCCTCAAGCTCATACCTCTCCCTTCACGCTAGTTGTGATGGACTCTCAGGGCCAGAAACAGCAGCTGCACAGTAAAGGTCCAGAAAGAGGGGACAGAGAGAAAGAGAGACCGAGAGGAAAGGCAAGGGAAGAAAGAAGGAAGGGAGGGAAGAAGGAAGGAAGTAAACGAACTAGCTGTGAGATCAGATGACCTAGGTTCGAGGAGAGAGCACTCTAGAACTGACCCGCCCGGTGTCCACAAGCACAGAACTGCAGGGCAGGTGACTGAGCCTCAGAGTTCCAATCTGTACAATGGGGGGGGGGGAATAACCTATGTCTCCACCCCCTAGACCGACTGCAGAATTAAATGACATAATCCAGGCCAAGGGATTAGAAGGGTGCCTGGCACAGATTAGCCACTCAATGGTAACAGCCTGGGATGGCTCTAGTGGGGGGACCCCCCCTCGGAACCCCTCCCCCCCCCCCCCCCGCCCTCCCCGGGGCACGAGCGCGAAGCAGGTGAATGGACATTCGTAGGTGAATGGACAAGGCCCGGGCCAGTCCTCAGCCCTCCAGACCCAGCCTCCCCAGCCACACACTTCAAAACTTGTCCTAGGCACAGGAGGGGAGAGGGCCATGTGGGCTCCCCGCAGAACACGGCGTCCCCACTGCAGGCCTCCGGGTCCCCGGCCACCTGGTGACTCAGGCCAGCGCCGCCTGTTTGTCGGGGTAATGACAGGGCAGCTGCGGGGGTCAGCGCCCAGCCGCGCCGAGGCCCCTGCCCTGGCCTGCCCTGCGGAACACAAAGCCGTCGGCCCCGTCCGCCCGCACCAGGGGCTGCAGTGAGGACCCAGATCCCGACCCCTGGCCAGGCTGGTCCAAGAGACCCCCCAGGGGCCACCCAACCCCGGCCCCGAGCCTCGTCCCAGGACCTCGCACCCGGGGAGGGGGACGGAAGCCGCAAGACGGCCCAGGGGCTGCACGAGGCTCCTGGAAAGATGCGGCGGGGGCGCCCCGGAGTCCCGACCCCCAGTTCCCACCCGACTCACCGCGCCACGACCCGCCGCCCGCCCGGCTTCTGGGGTCAGCCTGCACAGCCCGGGTCAGCTGACCCGAAGCCCCGCCCCGGAGCCGCGTGGCCCCGCCCCCGAGCCGCGTAGCTCCGCCTCCCGCGCGAGGGGCGGGAGCGAACCGCGCGTGCGTGGGGGCGGTGCGCGTCGGCCGCGCCCCCAGGCGGGTGGGCGGGGCTGCGGGCGCCCAGTGCGCAGGCGCCGACGTCATGCTGCGCGCCGTGGGTCGCGCGGTGGCGGGCGGTGCGCTGCGCTGCGCTCCCGGTGTCCCTGCGCCCGAGCTTCGCGCCGCCGCCTCGCCGCCGCCGCCGCCGCCGCCGCATGTCCCGTCCGCTGTCGCCGTCGCGGGCCGCCTCGGGGACCCCGGCGCGGCCCGCCACCGTGCTGGGCACCATGGAGATGGGGCGCCGCATGGACGCCGCCGCCAGCGCCGCGGCCGTGCGCGCCTTCCTGGAGCGCGGCCACACGGAGCTGGACACGGCCTTCATGTACAGCGACGGCCAGTCGGAGAGCATCCTGGGCGGCCTGGGCCTCGGGCTGCGCGGCGGCGACTGCACAGGTGACCCCCCCCGCCCCGGTCCTCAGGCCCGTGCACCTGTCGCCCCGGACACCGCTTTGTCCCCACCTTCCCCTGGGGGTGCAGCTCCGGAGCCTGGTCCAGTCCTGCGCTTCCTCCCCGCCTCGCTTTCTCGGGCCCCCTCCCGAAGGCGGTGGTCTCCAGAGCCGGGCGCTGCCCCCTCCAGCCCTGCCAGGTGCCCCAACCCGCCCCTCTCGGCGTTGCCCTCCTCCCCCCCCACGCCGTGGCTCCCTGAGCAGCACCCTCTTCTCATCCTGGTCTTTCATCAGCGCCTAGACTTTGCTCCCTGCAGTTGGCAGTGCCCCGCCCCCACCCCCCCCACCCCGGAGACAGCTGCATCTAGGCCACAGAGCAGGCGGGGAGGGAGCTGGGATGGAACATTCGGAGTGAGGAGGTTTGTTCTGGGCTGCAGGTGGCTCCGGCCCACCCCAGGGAGCTTACAGTCTAATGGGAAGGGTTGAAGCCCAGAAGAGGAAGCACTTTGGGGGGATCAAGGGGTCCAGGAGAAGCACTAGGGAAGGTTCGGAGAACACCACAACTGGGCCTTTAAAGGGTCAGTTGAAGTTTGCTGCGGGAGACGCCTGGGTGGCTCAGCTCTTGAGCATCTGCCTTCAGCTCAGGTTCTGATCCTGGGGACCTGGGATCGAGTCCCACGTCGGGCTCCCTGTATGGAGCCTGCTTCTCCCTCTGCCTGTGTCTCTGCCTCTCTCTCTCTCTCTCTGTGTCTCTCATGAATGAATAAAATCTTAAAAAAAAAAAATAGTTTGCTGGGAAGAGAATGGGAGAAAGGGGCATTGAAGGGCGAGGGCACAGCTGTGCAGACCAGGCTTGGAAATGCAGCGTCTGGTATGTGGAGGGACAACCTGTAGACAGGTGCGACTTGGGTGGTGGATGGATGTGCGCCGCAGGGACTCTGTCCCTCATTAGCCTGACGCCGTTGGAAGTGCCGAGGAGGGTGGCTGGCACATGGTAGTGAGTAGGAAAATGTTGGGATTTGGAGCCGACAGCCGGGAAATAATTTTTGAGACTTCTTTGGTGCAAAATAAGGTGTTTTTTATCAAAGCACAGAGTGGGGGTAGGACCCGTGGGCAGAAAGAGCAGCACTGGGGTTGGGATGGGTGACTGGTTCTATTCTTTCAAGTTGACAGGGGTTTAGGGTCAGCACAAACCTCCAAGGTATTTTGGACACTGGATTTCCAGGACCTTGAGGGGGCTAGCTATTATTAGGAAAAAGTCTGCTTAAGGGTCTCTCTCCTCCTTCTGCTCCTCCCTTCTAAAATAAATAAATCTGAGATCCCTGGGTGGCTCAGCGGTTTAGCGCCTGCCTTCAGCCCAGGTCATGATCCTGGACACCTGGGTCGGGTCCCACATCGGGCTCCCTGCAGGGAGCCTGCTTCTCCCTCTGCCTGTGTCTCTGCCTCTCTCTGTATGTTTCTCATGGATAAATAAATAAAATCTCTTTTAAAAATTAGTAAAAATGTTAAAAAATATAAATTTTTTAAAGGAAAAGTTTTACTCTTTAGTATAAACTCAATCATGAGACCCTTCAGATATATGTTAGTGAGCCATAGGCTTGTTGGATGATTGCTAACATGTATCTTGTGGGGAGGGGGGTAGAGATCAAGGAAGTTTCCAAAGGAATTTTTATTTTTATTTTTTATTTTATTTTTTTAAAGATTTTTACTTCATTTACTCATGAGAGATACAGAGTGAGAGAGAGAGAGGCAGAGACACAGGCAGAGGGAGAAGCAGGCTCCATGCAGGGAACCCAACGTGGGACTCGATCCTGGGTCTCCAGGATCAGGCCCTGGGCTGCAGGCGGGCTAAACAGCTGCGCTACTGGGGCTGCCCAGGAATTTTTATTTTTATACGTTAAAGTAGACCTACGGGGGCGGGGGGGGGGCAGCCCCGGCGGCGCAGCGGTTTAGTGCCGCCTGCAGCCTGGGGTATGATCCTGGAGACCCGGGATCAAGTCCCGCATCGGGCTTCCTGCATGGGGCCTGCTTCAACCTCTGTCTGTGTCTCTGCCTCTCTCTCGCTCTCTCTGAATGAATAAATAAATAAATCTTAAAAAAAATTTTTTTTAAAAAGTAGACCTACAGTATCCTGGGGGTGGGGGGCAGACAAAGATTGCCTCTTGCCCTTAGCAAAATATTAACATTGAGGCTGCTGAGTCCCTAGAGAAATGTCCCTCTGCCTGTCTCAAGGACTTGTCAGGGGCACCTGGGGGGCTCAGTGGTTGAGTGACTGCTCAGGTCGTGATCCCAGGGTCCTAGGATCGAGTCCCGCATCAGGCTCCCTGCAAAAAGCCTGCTTCTCTCTGTGTGTCTCATTAATAAATAAAATCTTTAAAAAAAAAAAAAAAAAAAAGGACCTGTCAATAGACTGTAGTCAGTAAGGAAATTTAATTTTTTCTTTTGCCTTTGTTTCTCCCATCAGTGGGGCCCAGTAAACGTTCACTCATATTTTTACAAACATCCTCTGCTGCTCTTCTGTCCTTCCCAGCTCTTGTGCGGGAGCCCCTCTGGGTCCTCCTTCGGTTCATAGCTTGGTGGGGCTGGAGGAAGCTGTATCTCAGACCCACGAGTTCTGGTTAACCCTGTTGCCTCCCCCTTAACAACGAAGATTCAGTTTCTGAATTGGTTTTTCTCTTCCCAGCCCTTCCCTGTGTCCTTGAGCCTGGGCACTCGCAGAGCCAAAGTCCACAGGTTGGACTTAAGCAAAGTTCACACCAGGAGTGCAGAGGATTTGAGAATTGTGGGGGGAAATGGAGAAAATGTGGGCAAGAAGCTGTGGGCCTGGTTCTCTCCTACATCCCAAGTGGCCATGTGCCTCCTCTCTGACCTGCAGAGTTGCCTTTGCCAAGTGTGAGAAGTGTAGAATCCAGACATCTGGCGCGCTCTAGCCCTTCTGGGCTGCTTGCGTGGCGGTACACTATCCCGTCCTCATGGGGATCGTGTGTCAGCAGTGGATGCACAGACGCACACTGCCCTGAGTGCAGGGGCAGGGCATCTGCAACCGGCTTCTGCTCCTTTTGCCTTGTACCTCTCAGATTGATCTCTGCCAGCGGCACCTGTTCAGGCAGCTGCATCTCTGCAGAGTTCTCCAGGCAGCCTCTCGCCTCCCTGTGTCCAGGCCTGCCCCCTTGAATTCCCTCCCGACTTCAGACACAGTGAGCATAGCTTTGGTTGACAGTATTTGAAAAAAAAGCATTTGCAATTAGGTCTGTCACGCTTCTCTTCTTGTCCCCTGTCCCATCGCTCTCTGCCTGGAGTTGATGCTCTTATAACTCCGAATTGTAGGGATGGGCCTCCATGGACTGTGTGTTTGCCTTTGTGACTCTGCCCATGTTCCCAGGGTCCAGAATGTGCTTCCCATCCTTCCATGTCGGCCTGGACTCATTCTTAAGAGACTCAGCTCCTGGGTCATGACTATAGAAAGCCTACCCTGGAATTCCCAGGATGGCCACACTCCTCTACTCTGGGCTCCTTTAGTGCCGGGGAGGCTTTTCTCTATTGTACTTACCTTAGTGTAATATCACCTTTAGGGTATGAGCTCCTTGAGGGCAGAGAATAAGTGTGCTTCTAGGCAAGGCCTGGTGTGGCCAGCAGTTTGGTGACTAATACTAGCGATTATAACAGCAGTGAGCATTGATGACGTAAATGTCATTATACAATGCTCATGATCTCCCTATGAGGGCAGTACCATTGTTATACCCCCATTTTACAGATTAAAGAATTGAGGCTCAGAAAACTGAAGTAATTTAGGCAATCATATAATAAGCCTCTTAACCATTGCTTGCTCCCCTCAAAGTGAAAATTGCCACCAAGGCCAATCCCTGGGAAGGGAAGTCCCTGAAGCCTGATAGTCTCCGGACTCAGCTGGACACATCCCTGAAGCGGCTGCAGTGCTCCAGGGTGGACCTCTTCTACCTACATGCTCCTGACCACGACACCCCCGTGGAAGAGACGCTGCGGGCCTGCCACCAGCTGCACCAGGAGGTGAGGCCAGGCCCAAGCTCCAGGAGGTGGTCTGCTGCTCCTCTCCTCGCCCTGTCATCACCCAGGAGAGGGGAGGCACCAGGGTAGTCCCAGAGCAGAGCTGGGGACAGACCCCAGCCCCACGGGGCCCGCCCCTGTCTCCCCTTTCTAATGTCCTGGGCCGCGGTGGGTTCTGACGGGGACCTCTCCCCCGCAGGGCAAGTTCGTGGAGCTGGGCCTCTCCAACTATGCCGCCTGGGAGGTGGCCGAGATCTGCACCCTCTGCAGGAGCAACGGCTGGGTCCTGCCCACCGTGTACCAGGTGAGGGCCAGGGCCTCAGGCGCCTGTCTGCAGGGCTGCTGCTGATCCCCGGGTTCTCTTGGCCCCTCCGACGGCCTCCTGTGCCCTCTCCATCCCCGCCACTCCCCTGCTGACTGCCTGGAGGTGCTCCCAGGTGCCATGGGGCTGTCGTACAAGCCCTTTAGCTTGTCCAGGAGGCACCTGCTCCCTCTGGCCCTGGCTGCCCTGCCGCCTGCGTGTGTTCCTTGGCCCCTTCCTTCCTGCTCTCTCACCAAGTGCGTTAGCCTGGACCACTCTTCCCCTTCTCCCTGGTAGAGAAGTAAGTGCTCAGGCCTCACTGAGGTGGCTCGTCTCCTGGAAGCCTTTCCCGATGCCCCAGCAGAGCCTCCAGTATCTAGACATCACCTTTATGCATTTAGGGAGTATTTGTGAGCATCTGCTGTAATCCCAGAACCCACCTCCATAGTGACCACCTATCTTCTTTTTGTGTATCCTTTTAATTGAAGTATAATTGATATAATTATTTTAGTCTCAGGTTTACAGCATAACAGTCTATGTTACGCTGTGCTCACCATCAGCGTGGTAGCTACAGGGTCAACATGCAGAGCCAGTCCAATACCATTGACTTATTCCCTCTGTTGTGCCTTTCATCCCTGTGACTTACTGGTTCCCTAACTAGAAGCCGGTGCCCCCCATTTTTGCCTATCCCCGAACCCGTCTCTTCCAACAGCTGGCAGTTTGTTCTCTGTGTATATGGGTCTGTTTCTGCTTTTTTGTGTTTGCGTTTTGTTTTTTAGATTACACATATAAGTGAGATCACACAGTATTTTTCTTTGGCTTATTTCATTTAGCATCATACTCTGTAGGTCATCCCATATTGTCACAAAAGGCAAGACTTCATCCTTTTTTACATGGCTGAGCAGTACTCCTTTATCCATTCAACTAACGATGGCGACTTCTTTCTTTGTGTTTAGTCTGACGCTAACACCTGTGGGAGGCAGAGGCAGAAACCTGGCTGGACTTGCTCGTGTGTGGCAAGGCAGTGTCCAGCCACAGCTGGCAACAATAGCTGTTTGTGGAATGATATAGCCACCCGGCTTCCCTGCCTTGGGCCCAACACTATCGCCCCATCCCCCACCACCACTAGGAATTTGGGAAATCATTGCTAAAGTCCTGGGCAGGTTTTGACTGATAATTTTAAAAGAAGGCTGGGGATGGGGTCCGGAGTGGGCCCTGGGTGGCGCAGTGGGTTAAAGCGCCCAACTCTTGGTTATGGCTCTGGTTTGATCTTGGGGTTGTGAGGTTTAGCCCCACATCAGGCTCTGTGCTGAGTGTGGGATCTGCTTTAGTTTTTCTCTCCCTCTTCTTCTGCCCCCCTAACCCATATAAGCTCACATACATGTGCACACGTTCTCTTTCTCAAATAGATAATAAAGAAGAAAAGAAGGTGGCTAGGGTTCCTTCCCTTGACACAAGCAACCTCTCCTGGCTCTTCTACCTGCAGGGCATGTACAACGCCACCACCCGGCAGGTGGAGACGGAGCTCTTTCCCTGCCTCAGGCACTTTGGATTGAGGTTCTATGCCTACAACCCTTTGGCGGGTATGGGCGGTTGCAGGGGTGGGGGGCAGGCTCCCCCTGGGGTGGGAGGCCATTCCTGGCCCCGTCTCTGCCTATTCCTGACACAGTGGAGGCAGGGAGGGATTTGAGAGGCGTGGGCTGTGTCCTCCATCCCTCCTGGGCCCCCCCCACCATCCTCTGCCCAGTCCAGAACAGCCTCTGGGAGCAGCGTGGGCCTGCTGATCTGACGGCGGTCTTCCCGCAGGGGGCCTGCTGACGGGCAAGTACAAGTATGAGGACAAGGATGGGAAACAACCCGTGGGCCGCTTCTTTGGGAATAGCTGGGCTGAGACCTACAGGAATCGGTGAGCTGGGGATGGGCTGCGTCAGGGTGGGTGGGGTGCAGGGTGAAGTGGAGAAATTCTAGGCTGCTTTCCTGGGGGTTCCAGGTCTTCCCTGCTGTCTGGACCTGTGTCTCTTGATTCCTGCAGAAATTACCAAATTCTGGCATTTCTTGTTTTCTCGGGACCTCTGTGAGCAAATGGAGATCCATAGATCTTACACCGGGTCTTCCAAGTCATAGCTCTTCCCTGAGAAGTGCTTATCACTTGCCTGAAGGAAAGAGTGAATCCCAGATTGATGCTCAGGACCCCAGGCCTCAATCTTGCCCCTGGTACTAGTTACCTTTGCTTCACTAGGTAAAGTAAAGGCAGACATTATGAGTTTTTAAGAACTCATGAAAAGGTTAAAGATGTTTTTGAGGACTCTGGTAAGACCCCTTTAACTGCCTAATGTGCCCACTGGTTCTGCTGCCCAATAAAGTAGACATGCTGCTGGAAGATCACTGGTCCCTCTTCTCTGCAGAGTTGGGTGGGCATAGCTGCTGTGCTTGGGTTTGTGGCTGTAACCTCAATGTGATCTTATGTTATTGACCCTTGTGCCACCCTCCCCACTTGCCCAGCTTCTGGAAGGAGCACCACTTTGAGGCCATTGCCCTGGTGGAGAAGGCCCTGCAGGCTGCGTATGGCAGCAGCGCCCCCAGCATGACCTCGGCCGCCCTCCTGTGGCTGTACCACCACTCCCAGCTCCAGGTAACCCAGCCCACCTGGAGGGGGCACTACTACCCCTTTTAGGAGAGCTAGAATTACCTTTACGTGATTTCTAAGTAGTACATTCCCCTCCCCCCCACCCAAAGACTTTATTTGGGGAACACCCGGCTGGTTCAGTCAGTGGAGCATGTGACTCTTGATCGCAGGGTCATAAATTCATGCCCATGTTGGTCATGGGGCTTGAAAATAAATACAAGAAATTTATTTTTAAGTCATCTGCACACCCAGTGTTAGGACTCAAACTCACAACCCTGAGGCCAAGAGTTGTGTTCTGCACCGACTGAGCCAACCAGGACGAGGGCTGCGCGTCCATGTACTTAGTACTCAGGCCCTATGCAGTGTCATTCCCCCACTTCTACAGATGAGGGAGTGGGTTCACACAGCCATGCAGGGGGTAGACGGTTTCTCAGAACTCAATAGCCTCACTCTTTGGTGGGAGTTGGGGGTTGCCCTCTCCTTGGCATCCCCTGTTTTCCTAACTAAAACCTTTCCCTGCATCAGCCCATTCGGTTGCTTGGTGTTTGAAGTACATAGTGTAGTTTCTCAATAAACGGGCGCCAAGTGCCTGCCATGGTGTCTCGTTCCCATAACCATGTTGAAGATCGAGAAGCTGGAGTCACAGGGAGGTGGTGTAACCAAGCGGCCGTATGCGGCTGCTAGTCTCAGAACTGGGCTCTGAGCCTAAGTCTGTCTGAGGATGAGCAGCGTGACAGCAGAGGGAGAGAAGACAGGGCTTGTGGTCACATAGTTAAGGTCCCTGAAGGCATCTCAGGTTCCTTGGGGAACTATATTCAGTGTAAATAAACACCAGAGCCCAAGGCTTGGCGAGGGCGGGGCGAGACATAGAGGAAGTGTGGCCGAGGTCGCCATGGTGCGCAAGTGTGGTCCCATCTGGCTGTCTCCCCTTGCAGGGTGCCCGTGGGGACGCAGTCATCCTGGGCATGTCCAGCGTGGAGCAGCTGGCCCAGAACTTGGCGGCGACTGAGGAAGGGCCCCTGGCACCGGCCGTGGTGCAGGCCTTCGATCAAGCCTGGCACCTGGTCGCCCACGAATGTCCCAACTACTTCCGCTAGGGCCAGGCCCGCCTCCACCTGCCAGAGGTTTCTCTCTTTCAGGTCACCTCTTCTGTTCTCATCCCAACTAGTCTGCCTTAAGCTGATTTAGTGGACTTTTTTGATTGTCTGGATCGATGCATTATTTTTCTAGATTCCTACCTGGTTCCCAGTTGCCTTCACAATGTGGAAAGGTTGGGGCTCTTGTCCACTTGGGAAGTTCCTGTCTGAATAAAGCAGACACCTGACCTAACTGTAATCTAGGCCCTGAGTAAACCCCACGAACCTGTGTCCTTTACTGTCTGCAACCTGTTTTCATCCTGCTCCAGGGAGGCAGGACCGTGAACTGGAGTCTCCAGAGGGCAGAGGTGCAGCACACACTGCCCTCAGGAGGGTGCCTCCTGATCTCTGTCCAGAAACCAGCCTGAACTGTCAATGGCAGGACTGAGGTCTCCTCACTCTGCTGGTCATAGGAGAAGAAAAGGAGGCCATACACCCAAAAGTAAATATTCTAATTCAGAATCACTTCATGAAATAGAAATAGAGTTCTTGGGGCAAAACCTACTGTTAGCATCCCCACCAAGAAGCAGAAAGATGCCCCTGGGGACCCCCTAAGATGTTGGGTGACATTTTTAACAGCCTCTCAATTTCACCAGTGGCTTTTCTCTTGTCCTGGTGAAAGCCTCCTGTCGCCTTGTCATCTCTAAGACTCTCAGCCTTGCCCAGGGTCTCCTGCTGTTGAAAGTGGAAATGTGACATGGGCAGTCGGGGTCCCCATTTCCCTTGGCAAACCCCTACTCCAAGCAGGGGACACCTGAGGCTAAAGAAGAAAAACCCCAGGTCTGATGGTGGCTATTTGACCATTCCCAGTCAAATAGCCCAACCTAGCCCTGGGCAGGGAGTTGGGAGTTAGCCACGCAACAGAGGTCAGCAGTTGGAGCTTCCAGATCTTGAAGTGAGACAGAGAGCTCAATTTGGAAATGTCAGACCAAACCACCAACCAGAAAGTCTTTGTTCTAAGAAATGTCCTATTTGCCATCTAGAGGGTGTTACCTTGCAGACAAAATTTTATTCTCTTAAGAAGCAGTCACCGTCCCTTGTCTTCACAATAAAATGGATTCCTCCCCTGAGTGGGATGGTGTATCAGTTACCATTGCACAACTAGCCATCCTAAAATCGAGTTGACTAAAATGGCAAAAATCCTCCAAGTTGCAATTAATCTGAAGATTCAATGCAATCTCTACCGAAAGTCCAACTGGTTTTTTGTTCGTTTGTTTTAACAGAAATTCATAAGTCCTAAAATTTGTGTGGAAATTCAAGGGACACAGAATAACTAAAATAATCTTGAATAAAAAGACTGAGTTCTCTGATTCTTTATTTCAAAACTTACCATAAAGCTATAATAATAAGACGTGTGGTGCTGGCATAAGGGTAGACTTATAGATCAATGAAATAGAATCGAGAGTCCAGAAATAAACATTTACATATATTTTCAGTTGGTTTTAGAGAAGCATGTCCAGACAATTCAATAGGAAAATAATAGTTGTCAACAACTGATGCTGGGACAACTGGATATCCACATGCAAAAGAATGAAGTTGATCCCTCTCCTCACACCATAACACACACCCAATGAACTCTAGGATTGTAGACCTAAATGTAAAAACTAAAACTATAGGATCCCTGGGTGACTCAGCGGTTGACCACCTGCCTTTGGCCCAGGGTATGATCCTGGAGTCCTGGGATCGAGTCCCGCATCGGGCTCCCTGCGTGGAGCCTGCTTCTCCCTCTGCCTGTGTCTCTGCCTCTCTCTCTGTCTCATGAGTAAATAAACAAAATCTTAAAAAAAAAAAAAAAGCACCAGCAACAGAAAAGAATTTGACATTATCAAAATTTAAGATGTATGTGCTTCAAAGGATCCCATCAAGAAAGTGAAAAGGTGGGCAGTCCGGGTGGCCCAGCGATTTAGCACTGCCTTTAGCCCAGGGCCTGATCCTGGAGACCCGGGATCAAGTCCCACGTCGGGCTCCCTGCATGGAGCCTGCTTCTTGTCTCTGCCTGTGTGTCTCTCTCTCTGTGCCTCTCATGAATAAATAAAAAATAAAAATCTTTAAGAAAAAGTGAAAAGGTAACCTACAGAATGGGAAAAAAATATTGAAAAAAAAAGTCCTATATCTCCTAAGGAACTGGTATCTACAAGAACTCTTGCAACTCAATGATAAAATCCAACTTAAAAAGCTGGCAAAAGATTTAAATAAACTTTATTCTGAAGAAGATGTACACATGGCCAATAAACACATGAAAAGCTGTTCAACATTATTACCCACCAGAGAACATAAATCAAAACCACAGCGATCCTGCTTTGCACCCACCCGGATGGCCATAGCGAAAGATGAACAATAATAAGTGTTGACAAGGATGTGGGGAAACTAGAATCCCCACTGCTGGGGGGGAATGTAAAATGGTTCAGGCACGGTCTGGAAACTGGCAGTTCCTCAAAAGCTAAGACCTAGAGTTACCATATGAACTGGCACCTCCATCCCTTAGGTGTCACCAAGAGAAGTGAAAACATCACACAAAAATTTGTATGCGGATGTTCATATTGGTAGCCAAAAAGTGGAAATAGCCCGATGTCCATCAGCTGATGAGTGGATAAATGAAAGGTGGCCTATTCATATAGTGGAATAGCATTAAAAAGGAACAAGATGAAAAAAACATCGACAATGTGGACAAAACATGTTTGAAAATATGCAAAGTGGAAGAAACCAGTCACCAAAGACCTCCTAGTGTATGATTTGGCTTACATGAAATGGCTGGAACAGGCAAATCCACTAGAGACAGAAAGTAGGCTAACGGTTGCCGAGGGCTGGAAGGAGTGTTGGAGGAAATGGAGAGTGACTGCTAATGATGTCAGGGCTCTCACGAGGGGTGATGGAAGGCTCCAGAACTATGATGGTTGTGCAACTCCAAATACACTAAAAGTCATTGAGTTATATGTTTATGTGTGTAATATGTGAATTATATCTCAAAGTGGGTGGGATTCTGTAGGGGCGATTGGTTTTTTGTTCTTTTGGGCTTTTTTGGGTTGTTTGGTTTGTTTTTTAGAAAACAAGTCATTTAGCATGAATCTGCTCTTGGGCAGGGCTCAGTGCGGAATGCTCATCTGCTCCCAGTGTCTGAGAAGTGACTTTAAAGCTGAAGGTAGAATCACCTGGGGGCCAACGCACTGACATGTTTGGTGGTTGATGCTGATTGTCAGCTGGAAGGCCAGCTGCTGTGGTCAAGTGGTACACTTCCATGTGACCCCTTCACGTAGCCTGGGCTTCCTCAGAGCGTGGCTGCTGGCTTCTAAGGGTGAGCATCCAAGAAAACCAGAAGAAGCCTTAATGCCCTATATGTCCCATCTTTGGAAATCCGTAACATCACTCTTGCCCCATGGGGTGATTGTCAACATTATGTCGTAAGAGAGTATGAGAGAACCGACAGTCATCTTTGAAAGACAACCTCTGCCACGGGAGCAGTGGTCCTGAGCAGTCAAGTCAAGAAGGTAACTGGTCAGGAGACCTTCAGTCCTGAGCAACCCCACTAGGGATGCATTCTCTAGGTCACGTTCCGTCTAGTAGAACGTTTTGGGTAGTGCTTCTCATGTGTTCCATGGTTGTTTGAATTCATCCGTTTTTTACCTAAAATGAGCTTTTTTCAAAAGAGGAACAGAGATCGGGAAAACTGCACATACTTAACTTCAAACTAAGGTATGTAAAAGACTGGAGGATGATTTGAAATAGATTTTGTATATTCAAACTAATGTGGTAGAAAGCTGCTGAAGCTAGAAGCTCGAGGGAGGGGATCTGGGCTGATATATGTGTTTACTTCCCAATCTGGTCTACTTGTTAACATTAGCGGTGTCAAATGTGAGGGTTAACATCAGTACCTCAAATTTGCATTCTGAATACTTTTTAGAGGCCATAAGGAAGATGGGAATGCAAGGATCCATACTACTCATGAGAAAGTACATTTCTTTTTTTTTTTTTAAGATTTTATTTATTCATGAGATACAGAGGAAGAGACACAAGCAGAGGGAGAAGCAGGCTCTCCACAGGAGCCCGATGTGGGACTTGATCCCAGACCCCCCAGGATCATGCCCTGAGTCAAAGGCAGATGCTCAACCACTGAGCCACCCAGGTGTCCTGAGAAAGTACATTTCTACTCCTAAGTAGATTTTTAATTTAATAGGACTTTTTAAAAAGATTTTATTTTTCATTATTTGAGAGAGAGAGCATGAGTAGGGGACCAGTGCAAGGCTCGTTCCCAGGACCCCAGGATGATGATCTGAGCCAAGGCAGATACTTAACCGACTGAGCTACCCGGGCATCCCAGGACTATTTTTTTTGAATTTTTATTTATTTATGATAGTCACAGAGAGAGAGAGAGACAGAGACACAGGCAGAGGGAGAAGCAGGCTCCATGCACCGGGAGCCCGACGTGGGATTCGATCCCGGGTCTCCAGGATCGCGCCCTGGGCCAAAGGCAGGCGCCAAACCACTGCGCCACCCAGGGATCCCCCCAGGACTATTTTTAACATGACACCATGGTGCACCAAAATTTGTGTGTGCTCATTGCAAAGACATTTCATCTTCGATGCTGAACTTTGTGATTGAATTTAAAATAGCATTCAGGGGATGCCTGGGTAGCTCAGTCGGTTAAATGTCCAATTCTTGATCTCAGCTCAGATCTTGATTTCAGGGTTGTGAGTTCAAGCCCCACGTTGGCTGTGGAGCCTGCTTAATTAATTAATTTAATTTAATAGCATTCACCCGAGTGCCAGATGTTTTACCTTTGACGAACTTCCAAGAGCTTTACTTTGCATGCAGTGGATAGAAGAAAAGTTTAATGATTATTAGAATGAACCGATTTTCAACTTGAAGTGTCTGGCACCGATAGGAAATTGGCATTTTCCATTTGTGCAGTGTTTCTATCATAGATACCAGCATGTCAACAGCTACTGCTGGACACTTAGGACATGCCTAAGGAAACTTGGAATGACAAATGAGCAAATTTAACTGAGAAGGATAACTACTTAATCTAGATCAAAAGTTACCTGTCACAGTAATAAGAAAATGAACCTTCCAGGGACACCTGGGTGGCTCGGTTAGTTAAGTGTCCGACTCTTGGTTTTGGCTTGGGTCATGATCTCGTGAGTCCTGAGATTGAACCATGCTCAATGGGGAATCTACTTTATTCTCTCCTCCTGCCTCTCCCCTCACTCGTGCGCTCTCTATTGCTCTCTCTCATAAATAAATTTTAAAAAGATAAAGTGAACCTTATGCATTGCACAAGGTTATGACTAAATCATAATCTCCAGATACTATTCTACTTCAAAAAATAGCAGTGATTTCAAGATGCTCGTGCCAGCTGTCTTAGTCTGTTCAGGCTGCTATAACAAAATACCGTAGACTGCTGGCTTAAAACACTTATTTCTCACAGTTTTTAGAGGCTGAAATATCCAAGATCAAGGGGTCAGTGTATTCAGTGTCTGTGAGAGTTCTCTGTGTTTTGCAGACAGCTGTCTTTTTGCTATATACCCTCACATGGTGGAGAGCGCTAATCTGTCTCTTCCTCTTTTCAGGACATTAGTCACATCACAGGGCTCTACCCTCATCCCTTCATTTAAACCTAATCGTTTCCCAAAGGTCGCACCTCCTAACACCATCTCATTGTGGGGGTAGCGTTTCAACATAGGAATTGGGGGAGGGGCGGCCCCGGGTGGCTCAGTGGTTTAGCGGCGCCTTCCGCCCAGGGTGTGATCCTGGAGACTGGGGATCGAGTTCCTCATCCGGCTCCCTGCATGGAGCCTGCTTCTCCCTCTGCCTGGGTCTCTGCCTCTCTCTCTCTCTCTCTCTCTCTCTCTCTCTCTGTCTCTCGTGGATAAGTAAATAAAATCTTAAAAAAAAAAAAAGGAATTTGGGCAGAACTCAGTCATTCAGTCTGTAACACCAGTTTCGTGTTTTCTGCTTGTCATGTGGCCAGTGGGATCATTACATTCTCTGTGGTGGATATAAACGCTGGCAACCTGTATGAATAAGGTATAGATTCATTATCAGTTTTCTTAAGAAATGGAAATTCAGTATTTGTTATTTGATTAACTAGACATCTGGCCTTTCCAAATTGGCAATTCCTTTGACTCTGATTCTTTGGCTAACTTGTTAGAATAATAGCTCTTCCGTGCTGATGTATATCCTGCCTTAACAGAGGAAACCTGGACATACAGCCTGGGAAAGTAGTTTAGGTTTATAATGAGGTTGGGGAGAAAAAAAGGATTCTCCCCACGGGCTCTGCTCATGTAAAGTGATGTTGCTATGGCTTCTGGATAAAAG